AACACACAAAACCCATCCCCCGTGACTCGGCGATCATTGGCGACCATGGCGACCACACCACGATGTCTGGCGTTTCCACCACGCTTATACCACGCTTATGGCGACCTTGGCGCGCTCTGGGCCCATTTTCCGTCGCCGTAGCAGCGCAGTAAGGACGCCACCCCGGTGTGACGGGGGTATTAGATGATAAGAAATTTTAAGATATTGGTAAGAAAGCATCCTGATCCTTCGGCATGTTACGGCGAAATCTTAGCTTTGCTGACTCTAAAACTTGGTCCCTAGCTTTTAAAACTATGGTTCTGCCCATATTAGAACAGTGCTCGAAATAAGCGTTGTCCGGTTGTCCGAGACAACCAGAATTTGCGCCGGACAACCTAACCAGTCTGTGACATTGTCCGGTGGACAACCAAGAAAAATGTGACGAAAAACGCACTTTATTTATATTTTTCTGATCGCGAATTGAATTTCTTTCGGCTGTCGATCGGCCTGCATTGCGTCCATAGCTAGTGTTGTTTCGCGGCTTCTCATTGGTCAGCAATGCCATGTAATATGGGTGCTTTGGCCAATAAGTATGCGTATCACAACTCGGGTTTGTAGCGACAACAAATTTGACTCTGTGGACAAGTTTCATCGGTGAGTAAACAGGTAACTACTTATCGATCACTACAAACGCTTTTTCTGAAGAGACAAATGACTTGTTGTTGGTAGATTTGTTGTGGCAGTGATGTAATCGAATCTGCCTGAGAGGTAAACATTGACTAACTGGACCGAGTGTGTCAGCGATAATAGAGGTATTCTATAGCTAGCCTAACCCGACCAGGCTGTGTGACTAACGTCAATATACAGGTATTCTAACCTTAAGCCCGGCGCACACGTGGCGATTTTTATCGACAGTACCGTCGATTTTTATCGCTGGTACTGTCGATAAAAATCGCCACGTGTGCGCCACCCAGCGACAATTCAACCGTCTATCAGCGACATACCACTGTATGAACTGTACGTGACCTGTTCAAACCACACCACGGGCGCTGCCAATATTTGATCACGTGCTTCAAATCATGCATTTGATTGGTTAATCCAAAAACTGTTGCCGAGATCCATCGCCAGTGCGGCGCACACGTAGCGATTGTTCAGCGACTGGGCAACAAATATCAAACATGTTTGATATTCCAGCGACGAGTTTCTGCCGTCAAAATCGGTGACGCCGGGCAGCGCACACGTGGCGATTTCTCGGCGATTTTGTCGCCGGCAACAGAATCGCCGGTACTAGCGATAAAAATCGCCACGTGTGTGCCGGGCTTTAGCACAGTAGCAAATTACCAATACCGTTTCTTGGAGCTATAGCTAGCCATGTCAAACCATTTTAAACTTATTAAAAATTAAAAAACAAACATGCAGTGAGTCAGTAAGTATAGCTGTTCCAGTTGTTAAGAATGATCAATATCAATTTTGAAACAGACTTCTTAGGGTTGAGAAGAAAATTTTATTTTTTTATACAAAACGGATTCTAGTCAAATGACAATGATTAAAGGAGCTTAGGTTTGGATTATAGACAAAGTTCTGTGTTCCATTGGCATTGATTCAATGAGACCTGGAATACATTTTGCATGATATATTCAGTTGCAGCTTGAATTTTTATTTAATTGGTATATAGTGATAATTGTAGCCAATGTCATTTAGTATCCAGTCATATGAGTCACACTGCAATAATATTTGTATACATCTGAATGATCTGATCATAAGTGGACCAATTGATAATAATATTATTGCAGTATGACTCATTAAGTATGAGTGAATGCCCTGAAACCCGATGTCTTGCATTTTTATAAAAAAAATTTCGCTAATGTCAAGACTCATGCAAAAGAAGATTAACTAGTCACGATGACCGTCCTGATTCATGCAAAGTTTTAAGTTTACAGGTTGAAATAAAATAAATTTAAAGATATCACTCCTACAGTATGTTTTTGGGCAGTGGCGTAGTTGTGGTAGGGTCCCTATATATACAGAGAGTTGCGACAACCCAGGATTTGACGCCATATTGTTTCCAAATGGATCCACACCGCTGCCGCTCAAGTACAGCGCTGTATGGATACGCTGTACAATGGTCCGTAGTAATTAATTAGACTAATCGTGCTTCAATAAACTCAAAATTCACAGAGATTATAGCTAAGACATGTGTCTATGTGTATCTAGATTTCTAGAAATGTTACTCAAATCGTTCGCGCCATATGATAGTTTAATTATACACTTTCTTACCGCCCATAGCCGTGCATATATATTAGCCTGTGCGATACCGCGCGTAGATACTTGTTATAATTAATTAAACCACTCACGCTTCAATAAACTCAAGAATCACAGATATCTTAGATAACACATGTGTTTATATGTATCTAGATTTCTAGAAATGTAACTCAAATCGTTCGCACCATAATAATATTATGATAGTTTAATTGTACACTTTCTTACCGCCCATAGCCGTGCGTATATTAGCCTATGTGCGATACCCCTCGTAGATACTTGCTAATTAATTAAACCACTTTACATTACACGACAACACCCGATAGCGATTTTTAATATTACCGATTTATTATGCTTGCATGCGTGCATGCGTGTGTGCGTGCTTGTGCATGTGCACGTAGACGTGCGTGCGTGTGCACGTACACGTGCGTGCATGAGCGTGTGCATACGTGTGCAAGTACACGTGTGTTATCTATGACCTATGTGATTCTTGAGTTTATTGAAGCGCGAGTGGTTTAATTAATTATAGCAAGTATCTACGCGCGGTATCGCACAGGCTAACAGTGTTCTCATTAGGAACCGGCCACCGGCCGAATTGACCGTCTACTCTGCTGTTTTGGCCGGTTACAATTGGCTCAAGTATGATATTTAAAAAAAAATCATAATTTTTATTTTTTTATTTGCATTTAGTTTGCTCTAATTATTCTCCAAAGTGAAAGTGTTTTATGAGCTACTACTAATAAATCAGTTGAGTATATTTGTATGCATGTTATGTGCACAAGAAGCATTATTTTGTTTTTGAGTAATGCTATTTAGATACTTGTCTAACTCTTATAATTACTAAATCGTCATAATTTGGAAACTTTTGGTGAACTCTGAATGTACCAGGAGAAACCAAATTGGAAAAAAGGAACATACTGTAATCCAAATGTGTCTGTTTACTGCAGCTCAGAATACACCAGATTGCATCTCAGAGCATCTAGGTTTTAAAAAAAAATTGGGAGGGGGTACCCCCAAACATCGCCAGGGCCTGTTGCAAAAGCATTTCAGCCTGTTACTATAGTATAAAAGATAATGAAAACCCTGGGCTAATATATGCACGGCTATGGGCGATAAGAAAGTGTATAATTAAACTGTCATATGGCGCGAACGA